GCCCATTGAGCTTATCAACTCGGCAAAAAGGGCTAAAAAAAGATGTCGACTGTGTATAACACAAACCATTTTGGGGACATTTTGAACATTTTCTAATAACTTTTGTTGTTATTTGTTGACATATATTTATTCTTGTTTTATAATAAGATAAGTTTTATTAACTTTATCGGCTTTTTGTTTATGAGTTGTATCTCTGAAACCGTAAGAGATGATATCGATATGCGGTTTTCGCCATTAAGGTTCTTATAAAAAACAAACCTCAGACACTGATATCATTAGTCTTATAGAAATAGGAGTTTTCCTTGAAAAGTGTCCAATTTGGCCCACCCTATACAGCGATTTGAGTATTGCAATATCAATACTGCCATATTGGTTGCATACTTGCAATGATGACGTTAGGTACAATAATTAATTAACACACTGTACTAATTGTAGTACCATTAGTGGTGGAAAGGTTTGAGTTGGATCTTGGTTACGTTTCGGATATAATTTGTGAGGTAGAACCGAAATGTCAGTTCCAGTGTCAATTAAAAAATTTAGGTTATTTTGATTGTCAAAAATGAAAAGTCGCGAACTGACAGAATGTATCGTAAATTTGCAAAATAAAAGCTGATATAACGTTTTTAAATTGAGTAATTAAACAATTTATTAGGTTTTCAAAATTTTTTGTTAGTCAAAAGTGTTTGACACGTTAAAGTCAGATTTTAAATAGTGGTTACTTGTTGGTCATGTTGTGTAGTTTCTGTGGCACTCCTCCAAATCTTATTTTGTACAGTTTGAAACGATGAGTCATTCATATTTCTCATATTAAAAACTATATAAAAATAATAAAATTAAATTTAATTTAACTCACCGCATTATCTTCTTCAATTTTTTGTTGTTCGTCCTCTTTTTCCTCAACATAATCCTTCCATCTCTTCAATTTCCTTTGTTTAGCACTATCCTCGGCTCGTTTTAATTGTTTAAAATACTCCGACCTATCGGCTGTTGGGTGAACCGTTGCGAAACCTTCTTCGACCAAAGCGACCGATAAATTATTATTATCAACCCATAACCAACCGATAAAGTTCCCAGCTTTATCGGTGGATTCGATTTGGATTTGCACCTCACGTTGCATACAACGATCTTTTGTAAAAGCCAAAGCTTCATCACCGAACGGTTCGGAAGCGCTTGCGGGGATTCCCCCAACGGCGGGGCGAGCACCACGCGGACAACTAATCCCACCCAAAAGGAACGTACAAAGGCAAGTTTCTTTCGGGATGTAAAGTCTCAAACGTGACCCGCTTGCGACAAATTCAACGATGGCGTCAATACGATTTTGGCGTTTAAACGAGGAAAGGTATTGTTTTGATTTTGCGGCGTCGATTTCGATAACTCGGTGAACGGGGACGTTCTTTTTGTCATGAATCCCTTTTTGGGATTTGTTCGCTTTAGTTTCGGCGGCCATCAAATCGTCGTAATGAGAACTACGTTGATCATCATCTTGTCGATATTTAACCACGGTTGCTAATCCTTTAGAAACTAACGCTTCGGCTACATTAGATCCACCAATCGTGACGGTAGCACACACTTTTTCGGGGAAATTATCTTTAGCTTCTTGAATGTAATCAACGACTACTTGAACTTTTTTGTCAACCAATTTTTTTCGGAGGAATTCCCTCGCTTCAAACATCCACGGGATATCATATAACGGACGGAAACCTTTTGGTCTAGCTACAGGTTTTCCATCTTCATCGTTAGCANAACGTAATTTATCAGCTCCAGATTTCATAAAAGCAATTGACCAATCGACGCAACGAGCGAGTCCCTCTTTTAATAAAGCCTCGGCGATATTTCCTTTTGGGTGTACAATCGTACCAACAAAATTGTTATTGTTAACGGATTCTAGAATAATCTCGACATCGCGTTGTAAAAGACGAATTTCGACGAAGTAACGAGCTTCGTCGGCGAATGGGAGTTTTTCGTTTGGATCTGGTTTTCCGTTCGCGTCTAATTTGAAACCGTTGCAACGAATTCCCGATATCATCAGGGTAATGTGGTAGAAATCGGGTAAAAGGAAAGCCCGCACAGTTGAACCATCTCGGACGTGTTCGATAACGGCTTTTATTGGTTTCCCAGCTTGCTTATCGACGAAAGTTCTCATATTTTCAAGCGACCATTTTATATCTCTCACATGTTCCTTTAAAAATTATCGTTTAATATTAAAATTGTTTCGATAATAAAACAAGATAAATTTGTTGTAAATATAAACGATAAATAAGTATTAGTAGCTTAATAAAAAAACACATAATTAAAAATTATATCTTACCCTCAAGACTTATGTATGTATTAAAAATTGTTGTAGTTCAAATTAAAATAAAATAGAAGCATTACTTCTAACTACAAGCCTATCTTAAATTAAATTACAACAGGTTATGGGGACAAAATCGTCGTCAAAATCAAAATTTAAATAAAGTAGAAGAAAAAACAGCATAAAATTTTAAAATAAAATCATGAAAATAAAACTAATAGTCTTCAACATTTAAGAAAAAAGAAAGTGTTTGCTTTGAATAAAAAATGATTTGATAATCGAGACATCAAAAGGAGCTGAAAATTTTGATGTATGGTATTTTCTAATAAAAATTTTCTTGAAGGCAAAAAACCGTTATAAAATAATAGACGGCACATAGCCATGCCCAAATGAAGATAAAAAGAGATCAGAATGGGAACAAAAGGGTGCACAATTGCGCAAAAAACTTAATAAATTCCGAAAACGCAAAAAAAATGTTTGAAAATCTAGCGATAAGAAACAGATGAACTGAAATATAAGTTACTACAAGAATTTGAACAAATTGAAAAAATTAAAACAGAACATCAGTTTTAACATAATCTTTAACGTAATTTTGTTTTGATTAACAATTTCCTTAATGTAATGGTATCTCACATCAATGTATTTACTACACTAGTTATTATTATACCACTTTTTATTAGATTCATTGCGCTTGTATTGCCCGTAAATAATGTGGCTTCTACTTCCGTTCCGATAATTTCTTTTTTGTAATTTGCTACGGTAATGGAAGCTATAACAGTACTCAAACGGGTGCTGTAATGAGACTCCTTACAGCATCCGATGCTGTAATGAGA